GAGCTGGCATTTTTTTGTAAATCATTTGTCCATTCAACCAAACTGAAGTCAGTGACGAAGTTGGGGAGGTGAAATGGACTCTTCATAGCTTTACTATCAACATAATCAAGGAAAGAAATTCCATTTGTGAAAGCACTTGATGAGGTTTCCCTGTTCTTACCTCTCCCTGACGTCTTGTTTTGGGAGATGGGGTGAAGAAGTTGTGCAAGACAGAAATATCACTGCTGAAGAGAATATTCTCCTTCTCCAGGATGTACTGCTTCAGCAGTGGAGATACCTCATCACCAAACAGGGCTTGGTTATCCTGCCAGATCTGCCGTTTCACCTCCACAGCACATGCTTTATACAAATCCTTATCTGCCATTACTAACTTGAGCTTCTTTTCAGGGACCTGTAATCAACAGAGCAGTCACCAAAGTGCAGAGCAGTTGAGCTGCCTGACTTAGATCAGCTGAACTGATGCAGTTTAATAAAAGGAGATATCACAGCCTAATCTTTCTGCCTTCCCTACTCCTTAGCCAGGAGACACCTAGCTTCTTAGGCAACCAGGTAACGCACCAATGTTTTCATTTACTTTTCTTTCTCTCCAAAGAGAACACAAAACTAGAGTTAAGACTAGGAAATTAAGTTTTAAGGTGAGGATTAAAAACCTCGGTAGCTTTAAAAATTCTAGTAGCAGTTTTGAATTCATTGCTCAATGATGCTTTTAACAAAGTTGCTCCTTCTAGGGGTCTTGCTTCACACACCTTTGTCTCACTCCTGCCCTCTTGCATTCTTCAGCTCTTACTTTCCATTTACTATAGCTAAGTATTTAAGCCAGTTCGGGAAAAAAAAATCTCCTATGGCTGAACTTGACTACTTTTATTAAGCTCCATAGATTGGGTAAAAGAGGAAAAACAGTCTTCTCCAATTATTAAAGTGCTTTATGAGTTAGTCTATCAAACTGCTAACACGCCCAAGCACAAGTAACGCTGTACTCGTTTCCTAGCTGACCACCTCCCCGAGCAGCTGCCGACGCCACCCAGCCGAGGCCACTGCCCTGCAGAGCAGCCAGAGGCCACTTGCAGGAGGGCTTTTACCTTGGGCAAATGCTTCATGACACACATGACTACAGGCTGGATGGAAGGCATCTTGACCAGGGAAAAGCTCTTCTCCAGGAGATCTTCCAGCTTCTTGTATCTGAAAATGGGCAAGTGTAAGTAGACTCTGAGTACCGTTTAACAGCAAAGGAGCAAAATGACTCATCTCGAAGCCACCAGAACTTGTGTTCCAGGGCACCTAACCCTCGCGCAGAAGTCGCATGTCTGGAGTAAGTGATTTTAAATGAAATTTGTAGCTCAGACCAAAGACGCCCCCGGCCCGCGGAGGACGCACCTTTCCTCAACCTTCCCTTCCAAAGCGATGGCCGAGACCCTCTCCAGCAGCTTCTCCCTCAGCTCGTCGAACACGGACTGGTGGAACTCGAGCCGGGGGGTACCGTGCAGGTCCAGGAAGGGCAGGGCCGACTGCAGCGACGGCAGCAGCAGC